GAGGTGTGCTCATCATCATTCTTTGACTTTGACTGGAAGCTACTGTGGAAGTTGAAAATCCCATATCGATTTCAACTGTTTGTATGGAAAATGCTATGGGAAGGAATACCCACGAAAGGCAAAAATCACCACTGGTTAGCTCAGTCAGATTTAGCATGTGTGCTGTGCTCAAATGAAATAGAGACTTTTCACTATCTCTTTTTCCACTACCACTACACCCGAGCCATATGGTGCTCAGCTCAAGTCGGGCTAAACCCAGAAGCAATTACCAATCAACCTGCCCATACAGTCCTCATATGGAATGCTAGAAACAAAAAACTATTTGAAAACATCACATACACTTCCCAGGAATTTTTAAAGAAATGGAGTACCTATCAACCACTAGAGGGGCAACAAGGCTTGAGTAGTTATGCAGAAGTTCAGTCCTTCAAAATTCCTCCTAACGGAGTGGCCACTTTGCAAATTGATGGTTCATATGACCATGTAACAGGAAGTGCAGGAAGAGCTTTCATCCTCCAACGATCGCCAAGAGAAGAAGCCACCTATGAAGAGGTAAACCATGCTGGGCAATCTGCCCTTATGATGCGGAGCTAAAAGCGTTAATTTCATGTTTAGAGGCAGCAAGAGAACAAAAAGTATCTACAGTAGCAGTCTACACTGACTCCATGCAGCTCAAGACTTTTTTGCAACACATACACAAGCCAAACCTCTGGATCGAATTAAAGCTACATCAACCGCAGATGGCCAAACTTCTGAAAGCTTTCACTAGACTCTTTTTGGTACATGTAAATAGAGCAAACAACCAAGCTGCCCATATTTTAGCATACTCAGCTTGTAAAGTAGCATCATCTATAGTCTCTACTACAAACAGTAAGATGTATCTTCATTTAAGCCACATCAATGAATGATAGCTGCCTCTCTTTTTGAGAAAAAAAAAAGAAGGCTTATCATAAACATGTGGCTAGTATTGTTGAATTAAAATTCCTCTCAAATTCAAGATGAATAGCCAAACAGATAGGGTCTTTTTGGGGGTCCAAACTATAATATAAGATCCTTGGGGTTCTTGACCAAATGACCAGACTTGGAAATCCATTCCCCCAAGAAAAATGAATTAAATACGGTTTAGCATTTCCCTTGGTTTGTCAAAACAAACCATGATAGAAAGAATACAAAATAATGGCGCTGGTGTATACCTGAGCAGCATTGGAAAAGGAATATGGTAAAAATTGAGTTCGGGTGTTGGTAGCACTGGAAATATCTTCCAACCCTCATATTAGGATTACAGCCAAGGTTCAAAATATCAGCCCGTATCGGCTGATACACATCATATCCGGAGCTTCTCGATATGTCCCTACAAAGGGTGTATCGGAGTTTTTGACCGGTTCAGAGAGTGGACGGACCTTAAACCGGTTCCTCTGAACTGGATTAAAAAAAAAAACTAAAAAAAAACCATCGATACTTCCCTGTATGAATATTTTGAACCTTGATTACAGTAGTGATCAAGCTGCAACCTGCAAATAAAGAAGATAGAAACTGATCTCTTCCCATCTATCAGATGCAGACTGCTATACAAGACAATTAGATTGAAAAAAAAAATAATATATCTAACAGATATGAAAATGGTGGTTCCAAAGAAATAACAAAGAAAAGTCTAGTTGGGATTTGCAAGTATTCTGTGATGCCGGAGTGTTGCGTCTACCTTTGCGTATGTTAAAGGAGCAAGTAGCTGAACTGAATAACTTATTGCAGATGAGCCACTTATTAATTAATGGCGGAATAACATATTAGCTTGATTACTGTATTCCTAATTATATATTAAGAGCCTTCAACTTCATCTGGATTTAGTGCTGAAAAGCCTCCGAGCTTAGAGACTTAATGGGTGAATGATTGATTTCTCTTAAAAATTTCCCATTAAATGTTTAGAGCCTTCAAGTGGATTTAGTCAAGAGGATCAAATAAAACAGAGCAGCGTTTTTCTTAGAAAAAAAAGAATGGTTCAAATGAAAATATGTACGTTTTACTTATTTATTTATATATAAATCCAAACAAATAGTCTGAATTAATCAGTAGGAATGACTGACTACCTGATGAACTAATCAGTAGTCATTTGAACCCAAAGGCTGACTACCTGATGAACTAATCAGTAGGAATGACTGAACCCAAAGGATCCACCAGTTGTTAACACAAAAGGGCATGAGTAATGCAGCAAACAAAGTTTTAAGTTTGAATGGAGTATGAACAGTTCCAATATAGTAATATGTCTCTATTACAAATATTATACCACGAATCCTTTGAATCCTATATACAACATACTCTAATCATCCTCCGCTATTAATAAGTTTCAAAGTTCTCTCAGTAGCTATGATGTTCACATACTGATAACCAATACTGACACAAATATAGGAAATGGGGATCTACACCCATTTTCCCAAAACCATTGACAGGTAAGGGTATGGTTGTCCTGTATAATATGCTTATATTATGCTTTTATATCAAGTTTTTAAGCTGTCATTCTCAAGACGTTAGTCTTGCTAAAATTAATTTATTTTCTATCAGAAATAATCAAATGATTTCATTATATTATTTGAAAAGAACAGTACGTGTGTTGTAGAGAGAATGGACCGAATGGCCCATAGGATGCTTTTATTTGTTTATGTTGTTAATGGGCCTTCTAACTAATGGGCCTTTTTTATGTTATGCTTAATTAAGTTAATCGCCCAATTAAGGGCCTCTTTGTAAATATCAAAACTTGTAAATTATGTTTTAATGAAAAGGATTAGGGAAGAGAAAACATTTGACAGTCTTCTCTCTAAACCCTATTTGCCGCCAACTTCTTCTCTCATCTCCTTTTCACTTTTCTACTGATATCTAACATCTTTTCACAACTTTTAAATCAGTCCTTTCATTCCTTAGGACTGTTTTTCTTCTTGGTATCAAAGCGAGCTCTCTTTTTCTTTCTTTTTTCTCTCTTTCTTGAGCTGAATTGAATGAGTGATTGAAGAAATTTTTTATCCCAGTTGTTTCAAATCCCCTTCCAGCACCATGTCTGTAAATTTTAAAGACTCAATCCTCAGTCTCATGGTGTACTGTTTTATAAATTTTAAAAGTGTAACTGCTATAGAGTACATCTAGAAGTGTCTATGCAGAATGTTCCCCTCCCAAGTCCCAAGACCCCATATAGCTAGGAGCCTAGGACCAGTATTGGGTAATGGGGTTCATGCAGTATCTAATGTCATATTGGGTAGATATCACATCCAACACTGGTAAGCTAGTCATATACAGATATCTGGGTAATCATAACTCAATAGAGATCTTCGTGAGCTCATACAGAAGTGACACTTAAGATTCCTCAACCAGAGCTTCTGTGGCTGATAACTTGGCAAAGCAGGGGACTCTCAGGAAAAGCTTGTTTAGAGCTGTATTGTAAGATTTGAGATCTGTATGGGGTCAACACTCATGCTATTAGTGGTTGACACTTTTGTATCTAACTGTTATTTTAATGAAAGTTACCGTTTCCAAAAATAAAAGAAAAAAGATTCCTCAACCATAGCTTCTAGCCATCAGATGGATAGGTACCTTATACTCAGTTCTGAATGGCACGTTCAACTTCATCATCCCCAACAAGCTTACATCATTCCTTTGGGTGCATGATGCAGAATGGAATCAACAATAAATCAAACTCATTATGACTTGATGGGAAGAATAAAAGAAATTTGTAGGGAACAATTATGGTGGTTGTACATTAAAAATGATACATTTAAGGTAGTAAGACTAGTTAGTCGGTCAAATTGAGTTATTTGGGCTGCAATTTAGTTAAAGTCGGGCGTGGGTTTTGTTGTGTAAAAAGAAGAAAATAAAATGATACTACTTAATGTTTAAATTATGTCATGATTTCGTTCCTTTGTGATATTTTTCGTCAGTTGTAAGAAACAACCAAAATGATACTGCTTTCAGCTTGCTTTTCTACTTTTCTACCTTTCTATAATGTTATTTATGTGAAGAAGCTGAGGTCTGAAAATTTCACCCATGTGACCAAATGGAAATGCCAATTTGTTAGTAAAGAAGATTGACCAAATAAATTTCGAAGCAGCAAAGTTTTTGCTCAGAAGAAGGTCATTGCTTGGGTTCAGTGGTCACCATGACTAGAAGAAAGTATTTGCTAAAAGAACTTTACACTTGTAACAAGGCAATTTGCAATCAATGAAAGGACAAGAAACAGGACAACAGATCACAATCTCAATACATAAATCTGAATCTACCTTCCAATGCAAACTTCACCTTTCTAAGAATAAGAGACAACATAACTAATTCAAAATTTAAGAATCACAAGTTAAGCCACTTTAGCTTAGTCAGAATGGATAAAGTTAACCCTAGCTGAACTCAAGTCAGCCTTACAACTATTTGGGGTCAGCTAAACGAACTATCCTTCCATTGTGCTATAGAATGGAGAATAGAAGGTACCCTCAGCTTCTTTAATCACCCAACAGATAGTTCCCATAGAATCCCCAAATAACTGAGTTATCATTTCCTAAAAAGTCAAATAGAACTCAGGCTCAAGGTTTCGCAAAAAAGAGGCTTATTCTAATGGTGAACATATTTGGTATGTCTAGATACAATGACTTCAGTGTAGCAATAGGTGATATGTTAACAATATCCTTACCTGTCATACAGCAGCCAATGAAAATAGAATCAAGCAAACAAGTTTTGGTAGAAGAAAATGAAATGCCCTTATCAGTGTTCCTATTGGTCTAACTAACCCCTACCAGCTGATCTTTTTTATTTTTGGGATCAATGACATAGAAAAGAAAATTTTCCTTCTCCCATTTGCAATCCTATGAAAGAACTTAGTTCCCATCTCTGTCTTCTAGAAGATCGAGCAATGCTTTCCTATCATGGAGTTAAAATAAAAGTACCCATTAACTTCAGATTAAAAGACAGGGCATCTGCAATCCTTTTCCACTCCTGCACCGGGATTCTTGTTTCAACCAGGAGCTCCCCCGCCCCCCAATTTTCTGCGCCAAAATTAATCTCCAACTTGTGATTATCATTATTTTGTTCCATGGATACAAACTCCTGACAGGGTGCCTCCTCCTTACCACTACCATGGTTCTGGTTGACTTCTTCTATCTCTTCAACAGCCCCTACCTGCTCTTTGTTTGATCTCTTCGACAAGTCCAAGAGCAGTGCAAACACTTCTTTCCAACCACAGCCCTTTCTTCCTTCTGGAAAGCACTCTACCTGTTTTCTTCCATTACTAAAGAACTCGTGAAGTGCTATGAACAAACCTTTTGTATTCCTCTTACGCTCTACTACATGCCTCCTATCTTCTTCACCTTCATGTCCTTCCAGATAGATTTCTGACAGGATATAGCTCCTGTCACAAAGCTTTTTCGAACCATTCAATACTCTCTTTACCTACTAGCAACACCATAACCATCTTCTTCTCTCTGATCTTCAAGTCGGTCTTCCTCTGATTCTCATTTCCTCAAAGAGAAAATCTTTGGCTTCAATCTTCAGCGCTCTTCTCCATCTTGCTGACTCCACAAAATTCTCCATTGCACCATCTAAATCACCTTCTCCACTCTTCCCATATGGTTTGACTCAACCATTCCATCCATGCCCCAGGTACAGACACAGCTCAAGACTGCACCACGGGTTCATCTGAAAGCTTCAACATACACAGCTCAAGACTGCAGATTGGCTTGCCATAAATATTGATGATCCAAAAATGTACCACTCTTCTCATTTGCTTTGACTCAACCATTCCATCCATATTGCGTATCAACTGTCCATTGAAGAAGTTAGGATTAGTGCCTAGTTACCGTCCATCTCATAATTACAGCAATGCAAATTTGCTGTCCATATTGTTCCTAGTTACTGTCCATATTGTGTATCAACAAAGTTCAATGCAAATTTGCTGAGCAGCAATGAACATAATTACATAGAAAATCAATTTAAACATAATTATGTATGAAATATTGAAATTAGTTGATGAAAAGATTATATATAGAACTTTCTTGCAAGGATAAGGTTGAACACCCCCTCCTCCCCATTGGTACATTTGCATAAAGGGTAGGTGAAAGAGATCATAATTATAACCAATTGCCCAAAAACTCTAAGCTTTGATTCTTGAATTTAATGATATAAAATGACTAGCCAGTCAAACCTCTACTTGTATATCCAAATAACATTAGAGAGAGTGATATTTCTATACTATAGAATTGTCACTAATTTCTTAAGTATGTTGTGAAGAAGGCTTAAAAGTATTGTCCTCTCTTATACTTTTATTTCCTCAAATGTGTCATTCAGCATTAAATCAAATGCTTAATTTGCATGTTGGGCAAAGAGAATAAGTAAAAAATAAAATTCAATATAACTCAAAGAAAGTTAATGTGAATAAGAAAGTAACTTGCATAAACTATAAAGTTAATCATTCAATATTAGAAAAGGAGAAAAAAAAAAAAAAAAAAAAAACTTACACCATAGTCCATACAATCTACATTTGAAATGGTTTCAAATCAAATGGACAAATATTTTAAACTTTGTAACTCGAGATTAGTTACTGGCTGTTTTATGTTGTAGAATCTTAATTAAGTGACAAAAACACTTTTTTTCAGACCTCATTAACTTACAGTATAACAGCAATTAAAAACTTCACCAACATGACATTTGCTACAGGTTCGGTACAATTCACTATTGGTAGGTGGCAATAACCTAAATACAAATGCACAGATCAAGAAATAGTACTAGAGGTATATATATTTTCCCTTGGCCAGAGCCAAACTCATAATTTCAGTTACCTAGTATTGCCGCCTGTGGCCAAACTTCCACTTAGAGCATCTACTTCACTCTCAATGAACCTCTGCCACATGGAGTTGTCATCATTTAAGTCTGGCTCCACCAACCCATGCTTTGTGTTAAGACTGCTGGAACAGACCAACAGAAAGCAGTTAATCAGTTTTACAAGAGGAGGCCATGTCAGCACAACTAACCATCCACTAGCAACAATTGTAACAGAAAGACAATCAAGATTGTAAAACTGTATAAGTAGTAGAGCAGAAAAGGAATAAGACATTGATTCTTTCAGCATTAAAATCTCTCTCTCTCTCTCTCTTTTTTTCCAAGAATTCAGGAGGTTGGCCCCTCGAAGAGCCCTGAGTTAGGCAGGTTCCTAACAATTTGGTATCAGAGCCAGCATGACCAACACAAGAAACACGTCAGTAGACACCCGAGTGGATCAGATGGAGGTAGAGATCCATCGAATGTCTTCAGATCTCAAAGAAATGAATGAAGGTTTCACTGCTCTCCTCCTTCGACTGGAGCAGGGGGCAATGAACATTGACAGAGGAAGCCAAGAAGAGCGCAGCAATGAAAACAACCGCAGAACAGGGGCGGCAACGAGAATAGCCAAAACCAACTTCCCCATCTTCTCAGGCGGTGACCCAACTCCCTGGATTCTCAGACCCGAAAGGTATTTCGATTACCATGAAACATCGGGGCAAGATAGGGTAGCTCTGGCTTCTGCGCATCTTGAAGGGGAAGCTATCCTCTGGTTTCAGTGGTACCGAAGGGGGCACCCTCAGTAAACCTGGGCAGACTTCACGAACGCCATGACTGTCCGTTTTGGGTCGTCTGGGTTCGAAGATCTTGATGAAAATTTTGCAAAGCTGCGGCAGGTGGGACCAGTAAAGGAATACCAGATGGAGTTCGAAAGGTTGGCCGTGAGAGTCCAAGGGTGGACGGAGAAGGCGTTGGTGGGAAGCTTCGTCGGCGGCCTAAAAGAAGAACTGCGACTGGAAGTGAAAGCGATGCAGCCCACTTCGGTCATCAATGCGGCAACACTAGCAAGATTGTATGAGGACAAGTTCAGTCGAGCATGAAAGGTGCAATGACCATGGGGTCCAGCAGCAAGAAAGGACGACAACACCAGAAAAGGAGGAAGGAGTATTGGGCCCAGGCCCACTTGTTCCTTTCAAACGGCTGACCTGGGCAGAGATGCAAGCCCGTAGAGACAAAGGTCTCTGTTACAACTGCGAAGAGAAATTTGGGCCAAACCATCGCTGCAAGAAACAACAAGCATTTCAACTCCAAACAGATGCCGAAGAGGAAGACGACATCACCGGGTGCGGAGAATCTAACCCAGAGTGGGAAATATAGTCCAATGGCACGCCTGGAATATCTCTACAAGCCCTTATAGGACTTGCGTCCCCTCAAACAATGAGAGTTGCAGGGCTAATCCTAGGACGCCAAGTGTCAATCCTCATAGACAGTGGCAGCTCCCTTAACTTCATAACTCAAGTCTTGGTGGATAAAATGGGACTTCCGATTCAACCAACAACAGCCTTTACGGTTCATGTGGCCAACGGTAATAGCCTATCCTGCAATAGCATTTGCATGGGCCTACCACTAAAGGTTCAGGGTCATCAGTTTGCGGTGGACCTATATCCTCTCCATCTCAGTGGAACAGACGTGGTGCTGGGCATTCAATGGTTAAGACAGCTAGGACCTGTGGTCTGTGACTGGGCCCGTCTCACCATGGACTTCACATTAGGGAACTCTACAGTCCATCTACAAGGGCAAACATGCAAGGGTCCAAGGCCCATCAGTCTTGCAACACTAACAAAGCAAAGAGGAGATCCAGATCAGCCCATATTCATACACATGGACTCAAATTGGACCAGTCCATCTTTAGCTAACAGCAGCCCAAATGGGCCAAGAGACTTCCAAAGCCGCCTACAACAACTCCTTCAGCACTATGGCAACGTGTTCAAAGAACCCCAAGGACTGCCACCACGCCGGGAGCATGACCACCGCATCCCCCTCATGTCGGGATCAGCCCCGACCAATGTAAGACCCTACCGATACCCTTACTTTCAAAAATCTGAAATTGAGAAGCAAGTTCAAGATATGCTTCAGCAAGGGATAATACAGCCCAGTCACAACCCATTCTCTTCACCAGTACTATTAGTCAAGAAAAGGGATGGGACGTGGCGGTTTTGTATTGATTACAGAGCCCTTAACAGCATCACCATTAAAGACCAATTCCTGATACCAATCATTGATGAACTGCTTGATGAACTCAGTCAAGCCACCATATTCTCAAAACTGGATTTACGAGCTGGGTATCATCAGATAAGGGTACATAGGGAGGATGTTCACAAAACGGCTTTCAGGACACATGATGGCCACTATGAATTCCTGGTCATGCCATTTGGGCTGACCAATGCTCCAGCAACATTTCAAGCATTAATGAATGACATATTCCGGCCATATTTACGTAAGTTCATCCTTGTTTT